CGGCGAAAACGGCGTCGACTCGTGGCATGGGTTCAGAGTCTGGAACTAAGACGCCGTTTAGACGTCTGAAATCGACGCACAGCCGATTTGTTTCGTCCGGCTTCTTGACGAGCAGGACGGGTGCGTTGTACGCAGAGCTGGATTTTTCTATTATTCCGAGCCTGAGCATTTCCTGCACCTCTTCCTCAACCTTCGTGTGGGTCGCAAATGGCAGTGGGTATTGTCGCACATAGATGGGGGTATCTGTAGTCTGCTTCAGCTCGCACTGTATCCATGTGGTTTTTCCCGGAACGTCGGAGAAGATGTTCTCATGGCTGCGCATTACGCGGTCGAGCTGCGACTTTTGCTCCGCACTAAGCTTCGATGAAACTTTCGCGTCTCCGGGGCCTTCCTCTCTCTGGAATGTTGGTAGAGGGATCGGCTGGTCGTCTTCGGTTTCCGTCAATGAGAGAACCGCGCAGGCCTGTCGCTCGTCTTCCTTCTCGATTCCCCGCTCCTCGTATTTCTTTAGTAGGTTAGCGTGGAACAATTTCAGGCCGGTCGCGGTCTGGATCTCGTAGTCGACCTCTCCTGTTTTTCTCGTAACGAGGAAGGGCCCCTTCCACTGCAGCAGAAGTTTGTTGTTGTCCGTGGGGAGCAGTAGGAGCACCTTCTCTCCCGGCTGGAAACTCCGCTCCTTGGTTTTCCGGTTGTAGTATCGAGCGTAACGAGCTCCCGACCTCGCGAGTTCCTCGTGGGCGATTTTGCACGTCTCCTCGAGGCGATTTCTGAGGTCGAGCACGTGCTCATAGGTGGTCCGGAGCTCTGCGTCGAGCTCGACGTTGGTCCACACCTCTCTCAGAATGGCTAGCGGGCCCCGGACGTGGCGACCGTACAACAATTCAAAAGGCGAAAAGCCGAGGCTCGCCTGCGGCACTTCCCGGTAGGCAAACAGCAATGCGGGCAAATACCGGTCCCAATCCTTGGGTCTCTCGGAGCACATTCGCTTCAGCATGAGTTTAAGTGTTCCATTGAACTTCTCCACCAATCCATTCGCCATGGGGTGGTAGGGGGACGTGTGCAACTGCTTTATCGACAGGAGCCGGCTGATCTCTTTCATTAGCTCGGAAGTGAAATTCGAGCCCCGGTCGCTTAATATCTCTCGTGGCATTCCGACCCGCGCGAACATCTCGACCAGGGCCTCTGCCACTCTTTCGGTTTCGATGCTGGGCAAAGCCACGGCGTCCGGGTAGCGAGTCGCGTAGTCTACCATTGTCAGTATGTACCGGTTCCCTCGGCCCGATGCCGGAGCCATCGGTCCCACGATGTCGATAGCAACCCTCTGAAATGGGGTATCTATTAAGGGGCCCCCACCCAGTGGGACGCGAGGGACCTTTCCTTTCGGTGTTGTTCGCTGGCACACGTCACACGATAGCACGAACCGCCGTACGTCCGAGCCCAATCCCGGCCAGAAGAACTCTTGCAGGATACGGCTCTTCGTTTTCGCCTGCCCCAGGTGTCCCGCCATAATGCTTTCATGGGCAACCTGCAGCACAGTCTTTCGGTAGGTCTGAGGCACCACGAGCTGGCGCGTCTCTCTCCCCGACCGCTCCCGGTATACTCGATAAAGAAGCCCTTGCCCCTCTCCGGTTGTATAAGTGATCGTGGCCGTCTTTCCCCTGGCCCTTTCCCCAATCCGCTTAAAGCAGGGGCGCAGGGTGTCATCCTCTTCCTGCTCCTTTGCAAAGCTCGGCGTGTCGATGGCCAGCCCTTCGATTTGAGGCACGTGTAGTTTTTTCAATCCAGTTTGTTTTTTCTTACTCTGGGTCCTGGTTTCCACGGCACACGCCGGAGTTAGGGGATCTTCCACTTCCGCCCGGGTTTCGCGTTCTGGCTCGTCTTGGCCCTCCTGTGTGTCAAGTTCCGCCGGGTCCTCCTGAACTCGCTCTGTCGGTATCGGGTCGTCCCCCACCTCTACGTCAGTCGCGGGGTCGTCCGGTTCCCTAGCGCCGGGAATATTGCCGAGCACAAGGTCGTACAGGGGCCCGTCCATGCACAGGGCTTTGAGTCCTCCGTTGAAGTAGGGCGTTTTAACGTGGATATGGGCCTCGGGAAGCATTTTCACGGTTCCATCCACGAGATACACCGGCTTTTTGGTTCCAGTGAGGAGGCCGTCGTCGACCAATCCTCGTCTTACGATGACCGTGTTACTACCCGTGTCGCGCAGAACCGTGATCTTTTTCTGTCCGATTGTGCCCTCAACGACTGGCATTCCCTCGACCAGGAACTTATGACGCGGGGTCATTACCGCGTTGACGACCGGAATTTTCGTCCCATCCTTCAGCTCTAAAAACCCATCCGTCACGTTTCCGTCCTTTCTGTCTTGTCGGGGCATATAGATGCCAGACGCCTGAGGTTTTGTCTGGCCCCGGCAGACCTCCGTCTTATGTCCCTTCCTGCCACACCTTTGACATGTGGGCACCTGTCCGGTGTTGTACAGGCTACGACATTGTGCAGCTTTGTGCCCCGTCTTATTACAGAGGTAGCACCTCATAGCAGGCCGCGGAGGCCCGCCCCCCTCGCTACTTTTCTTCGCTGAGGGGTCGGCCTCGTTTTTCCCCGCTTTCCCCAGGTTGCTATGACCTTGGGCGTCCAAAAATTGGTCCGCCATCTCCAACAGTCCCTCCAAATGTGGCTGTTTTCTTTCCTTCAGGTAGATGGCCAGGGCTGGATGACAACCCTTTAAGAACTGCTCTTTGATGACCAGTTCCCGGAGACCTTCAAAATCTTTGGTCACTGCGGCCAGCTCGACCCACCGGTCGAAGTAGTGGCCGAGCCTGGCGGCGTACTGAGTGGCCGTCTCTCCATCTACCGGCTTCCCATCACGGAATTTATCGCGAAAGCCCTCAACGGTGAACCGGAACCTCTTGAGCAGCGAGGCTTTCACCTTGCCGTAATCGGCGGCATCTACGGGCGGCAATCGCCCATACACACTAAGGGCTTCCCCCGTGAGGCACGTGCTTAGGGCGGTGGCCCATTGGTTTTCTGGCCACTTTTGACTTAAGGCAATTCCCTCAAACCTTCTTATATAAGCGTCGAGGTCGTCCTTCCTTTCGTCGAAGGCGAGTAGGAGCTTGTTCGGATTCAATTTCAAAACGCTCTGACCCTCGCCGTCAGTTCCTGCTCCGGATGAGCGGTTCCCCTCCTTCTTGTTCTCAAGCTCTAGCCTCAGCCTCAATATCTCGAGCTCCCTCTCGGCGGCTGCTTTCGCCGCCTCTTGTTCCCGCTCGGTAGCCTCCCTAGTAGCTTCTCGCTCTAGGGCTCTCTCCTCTCTTTGTCTGGCGGTCTCTTCCTCTATCCACCTTTTTAGTTCTGCTCCCGAGAGGTCTAGTTTGGTTCCCAGTGCCACGAGTTTTTCAATTTCCATGTCCGGTTTACCCAAGCTCGCCGCTGGGCGAACTGCGGAACCACACTTCCCTCAAATCACGCGGTTTCTACTCGCAGCCCTCCAAAGGCAAGTCTCCACCATAGTCAGTCTACGTCCTGTCGCGGACGCCAGTTTTGTCACAGGTTTGCTGATATTCTCTGTTTAAACACAAAGGACTGCCGACCAGGCGATAGGTCCACGCCTCGGTGGAGTCTTGCCAATGAAGGGGAGACCACAGTTTTGCAACGAAACGAATTTAATACTACAAACAAAACAAAAGAAAACACAATAAAGGTAAACAAGTGCCGAGCTGCGAAAACAACAGGACTCGAACGCACTTCACCCGGCCGGTGCACGGGCGGCGAAGATAAATCACTCAACGCACCACGAATTAGGCAAAACCCAAAGTCTACCGCTCAATACAATGCAGTAACCATCTCTTACGCGGGAGCTTCCCCGAACATGGAAAAAAAAATAACTTCGGAGCTTAAATGTTATCAAATAATACAATCGGACACCCGTGAGAATAAAAACCAAGTACAGAAATACCGCTTCCTTAATTACTATCAAGAGGAAAGTGCGAGTGGAGGGGAAATCTCGTCTCACAGTGTCCGGGAGTGGCGGTCTTGCGAGGCGCTGTCCGAAGGGGGAAGGAATGGTCCCGGTGGTACCACGGTGGGTTGGGCGGCTTGAAGCGGCCACACAATCACACACACACACTTCGTCGTCGAAGTCTTCCCCAGTCCGGACCTGGCCCGCTACCGTTGAGCTCCACGGACTCGGCGCTTCGATTCCCCGCCTGTTGCTTCCGAGTTTCCCGCTCACACTGCTCGCCTTTGCCCCAAAGAGTCCCCCTGGACGGGCCCCCGCATTCCAGCACGCAGGCGTGGAAAACAAAACAAAAAGAAACCAAACCCCAGGACGCTGGCCCGCTCGTCCCTTCATCCTCCCCAAAGGGAGCATCGCTTCGTTTTCGGGGGCGCTGGGTCCCAGACCTCACTCCCCGCGAATTTCTTGGAAGGACGCGTCTGGCCCGGGAGAATGGATAACGTAACACAGTCGGATTTTGTAACATGAATAACGTAACATAGCCGGATTTTGTGACAGTGCAGAACAAGCGCAATCGTTTCGATTCAAAAATACGACTCCATCAGGTGTAGACACAGTGACAGGATGTTCAGACGCTATGGTTTTGTATTGTCGTGAACCGTATTTAACATTTCTGGAAGACAAAAAGGCGTTTATTGCGATTTAAAATAAAGCTTCAAATAACTGGCAACGATGGCTCTAAACACCAAGATGGCTTCAGTGTCGTTATTCTAAAACGTAGCCTTTTTAGTGACCCTATAGTCGCTCTAAAGCGGCTGGACGCGTTAGAAAGACATCATTTTCGTCTGCTAAAAATGCGTGAATACGTAGCGGATTTTTAACGACCGTCTGTTTAAAAAACCCAGTTTGACTGACACCCTCCGAGTGCTAACCCAATTCTATTCGCCATACGCGCGCGGTGTCATCGATGCGATTGTTATATATCTGTTTAGTCAATTGTCAACTAAGGTTTTGGCCATTAGCAAAATGTGCATCTGTTACTTACACTTCGGATGAACTTGCTCGCCATGTGCGTTAACACTTAACAAAAAAATAACGGCAAGATACTGTGCAAGCATTGTGTGCACTATGCAGAAATGTGCTGAAATACGAAAAGGCGTCCGTGTATTTTTATATGCGTAGCGCAACATATTTTATTTTGTATTTCCTTTTGTAAACAGCAATTACGCCGTTGCATGTCGAACTTTATATCTTGTTTCTTCGCAAGAAATCCGGAAGGCTTTTTTTTTTTTCTTTTTAACTTCAAGTATAACAATATGTATATAACTACGCTGCCCTCAGTTTGAGCATGTGAGCATGTGAGAAGAGTAAATGATCGTGCGAATCCTTTGCTTTGTGACGCCCCAAGACGACGACGTCAGGTTTTAAAGGTCATCGAAGAATAACTAAAACTGTAAGTTTTCTTGTTGTTGTTGTTGTTGTTGTTGTTGTTGTTGTTGTCGTTGTTGCTGTTGCTGTTGTTGTTGTTTTTGTAAACGTCACGTGTTTAAGTTTATTGAAAGATAACTGGAGATAACAATTAAAGTTTTTTTTTAATTGGCTAGTTAACATTACTTTAAGAACGAAAATGCAAACATTATGACAAAAATGTTTAGAATATATCCCAATATGAAAAACCGTCATACTTATGTTGATAATAACGATCTTCTGGTCTCTCATTTCTTGCAACAATGATTGACACGAGCCAAGCAGACATTTAAACGCACTAAAGAATGCCCTCAGGAGAACACTTGTATCAACAGGCATCTTACCTTCACATACAGAAATGAATGCCTTAAAAGAAATCAGTATAACGGTGAGCTGGAGCTGAGAAAGTTGGGTCGTTGTGTCATGATTGTGAATAGAATGCTGAATGTTTCTCCGAAAACACTAAAGCATCCCTAAAAAACAAAGTGTTTGAAAAGAAAAAAAAATTACTTTCAGGAACAAAGTGCCAGTCGTCGTGAATTGCAAGAGCATACTAATTAGCACACTAATTAGAAATTACTTACAATTACTCACTACTTTTTTTTTAATTTCTGAATGTAAACCTATGGTTCACATTAGCATCTCGCTGAGCGTCATTGAAAATCACTAGATCAGGCAATTTTAGGATGACTTTAAACATGTGGACTACGCCAGAGTGTGTTGGAAGTTAACACTCTTACAGTGCCATGCGCGTTTTCCCATCGCCGGTGTAATTGCGCCTGCTGCACCAGTGGCAATTTAGCGCACCCCCGCGCTTCTCACGTACTTCAAGTCATCTTAAATTTGATTGATGTAGTGTTTTCTGATGACATCCAGCAAGTCGCTAGCTTAAACCATGTGTATATTTTCAAAATTAAAAAAAAAGATAAAATTTAAGCTCATTATTTAGTTGATTAGCATATTTTCGCAATCCCTGACGTCCGTCGTGGCTGGAACTTTCTTATCGAGAAGAGTTTCGTTGTTTTTTTTTTTTTCCCTCGAAACACCCTAATTTCAGGAATGTATTAAGGTGTTCATGGTAACATTTGGCAGGTTCAGCTAGTTCTATAGGCTTTTTTTTTTTTTTGACGGTTGCTCCGGTGGGCGATAAGAAAATTAAGTCGATTGTTTAGACAAAAGTGCAATGAAAAAGTATAACCATGAAAAAGGTAAAACTACTAGCATCAATTCTAGCGCCTTCCAATCGGCAAATAAAGTAATTTACTATTTTGCCCCAATTGAGCTACGTCAAAGTTCAATATGGCGGCAAACAACGAAAAAAACGGTATATACCCAAGAGACAGTATGACCAGTGTCTGCTTTGTTCTATCAGCACCGCCATGTTTGTTTATGCTAAGCCGCCTCGGTGGCTCCGAGGCGAGAGCGCCGGCCTACGGATCCCCAGGTGGCGGGTTCGAATCCCGACCGAGGTGCCCGCAATATGACGGAGGCTTATTGCGGAGAAGGCGCCGTGTAACCGAGCTTTCGGTTGCATGTCAAAAGATCCCCAGGTGGTCGAAATTTAATCCTCAGTCCTCCGCTGGGGCGTGCCAGATGCCCGTCGTAGGTTTGGCACGTAAAACCCCCAAATTTGATGTTTGTTTATGCTGACGCCATGACACAGTAGGGTAGGATGTTTGGGCTAGTTGATTTACCATTTCATGAAACGTATGCGTACGCAGCAAAGACGAGGGCGAAGGGAGGACGGTACACAAACGAGGCGCAACGGATTTTTATTGAAACGTGTCCCGTTATTTGTAGTCAACTCTGGCCAGAAAACAAAACACGGAACAATCATCACACGGCATCCGCAGGGTACAGCATTACACAGCATTATTTCGCAGTAAGGAAAGAAATCAAGTTCCTTTTCAAACAGCGCTATCGAGGGCATAGCGATGCACGTATCGACTAAGGAAGTGTTCCGGTTCTACAATTTCACCTGTTTTTTTTTTTTTTTTTCAATTTTAACGCATCTATCAAACAGTGGGGCACAACCGCATGCACTGCAGTGTATGTCAAGAAAGCCACCTTGTATTTTTGCACGTTGTTACAGTGTTAGCGAAGCCTATGGTTTAGACAGCGCCTCGTCTGCCCGACGGACTGCCTGCCACGAGACAGCGGAATGCGATATATACCACGCAATCTGTGCAATCGACAAATTTTGTTCGGCGCTGCTTTTAGCATCTCTGTTCGGCAGGCACGTCAGGCTTCGTTAGTTTGGACTGGTTCATGTGCTTACTGGCCGCGAAAAACGCTTCTTTTAAGTTTGACCGTATTGCTATTTTCTTCAAATTGTGCGATACTCGGTGAATATACGGTATAACAACGTTTTCTTTCTGACTGGTCTGTTGGCTCACACTGTTCCCTCCCAGACCATGCTTTCCTATAAGGCCTTCAGCAAACACAACAAAAATGTTTTTGGGGTACCTAGCCTGTGACAAACCGCATGACTTGCTGCTCCAAACCAGCACAGGTGAAATGTTCACAGGACTTTTTAGTGCATCGGTAAAATAGAAGTTCACGACACTTCTTTGGACCAGGTTGGAGTGGGCTGAATGAGAAGGAAGCAGCAGGTTATTTGCACGTGGCTCGTTACACCAACGGATGTGGTCGTCCAGAAATAAAAACTTGACGTCAAGAAAACGGATAGTGTTGTCTACGGTCATCTCATGTTTGACATCGAGCGTGCCAATGCATTCCTGTGAGGGTTTTCGCAGTCTCTGCTTCAAAAGCGTTGGTATCAAGAGCAATAAAAACTAAGAATCGTCTACGTATCTAAAAACTTCCTTTACTTTTGATCCTTGAAACCGGCTGCTAAGAGTGCTGTCAAGTTGTGCTAAAAAGAAATCGTTGAAAACTGGCGCGATGCATGCGGCAATGCATAGGCCCTGTTTTTTGCAAATAAGGCTTGCCGTCCCACTGAATAAAAGTTTTCCGAAGATAAAAACTGAGCGATTCTAAAAGGCCACTGCTGGAAATCTCCGACTTAATCTGAAAGGTTATACCTCTCTAAACTTGTCAGTGCACTCATCAACACACAATAGCAGGCCGAAATGCGGAAGGGAGTAATAAAGGTCATTTACATCGTCTTTGATGCACACGCAAAAGTTTTATGAAAAAATAGAAAACTACGCTTTTAAAAGTCTGTTTTTTTTGTTTTTTTTTAATCCTTCAAACATGTCGTAGTGCAAGAACGTAAGAAATGCCTAGTCACAAAGCTCCAAGAACAACACCAATGCCAAGAGGGCTGCAAAAAGCAAAAATCTTGTTTTATCCGTAGCCCCCGTCTCCACATGAGCGTGCGTTTGAGATTCTTATTTCCCATTCTTGTCCCTGAGGGCTAGGATTTTGGACACTGGTCAATACACCGTTTTAGCGTTTATCACCGAGGCCAATAAAGCTGAGTCACCGCGCTGTGTACGCCTGCGCAGCGTATGGTATTCAACAGAATAAAGCTGCTATGCTCGGAACGACTTCCACAACGCAGCAGACAAAGATGGCCGCCTGTAGGAAGCGATTATTGGAGTCGTCTAAACTGGAAAGACTTCACAAACAATTTTAGAGCCCATCCACTTCAGATGAAGATGAAGGGCCAGCGAATCTGTTATCTTTACGGCACCTTCACGATAACTTTACGACAACTATACTGCATCTATACGATTTACATATGATTGCAACGAAGACACGTATACGACTTCGTTGTTTAATTGTCTTTATTTAATTCGTAGTAACTAAAGTGATCATTGCCTTATGGTTACTTATAGGCAATCGTTCTAAACCCGATTTTTCGAGGCCCACCTCGAGGTCAGTTGTTTTTTTTGTTTTGTTTTTTTCGATTGAGCCCAAGTTTCTTTATCAGCATCGCGGAAACGAAAGAAAAGAAGATTAGATCGGCGCGTTCTGCCCTCAGCCCCGTCACAGCGCAACCTTAGCTGAGATAAGTCGGTGACCGTAGATGATAGCAAGGGATCAGGACCTGACTACCTGATAATGCTAAGGAAGGTTAACTCACGCGGGTTGCCCCCTCTTTCTATTTATACTTGCCACGACCAATTGGAACGGAAAAGCGCCGTTTAAACGGGAGTTTTTTGTCAGCATTCATGGAGGCATTTTTTCCTAGATCCTACAGCACATACCAGCTTAGCTGTAAAATTGTTCCTTCGAACGAAATAACTTTCATGACGTCAAGGTACATCGCAAGTTTGTTTCCGCTAAAACCGAAAACAAACGCAAAACCTCCTTGCTCATTGTAAGACAATGGTGTGACGCAGAAATCTGCTATGACAAGCACACCTGCTGAAGTACTATGACCTCGAATGTGCTCCCCAGCTCGGAGCACGTCGAGCGAAAGCCTGTGTGCTGCAGAACTCGGAAATCCCGGGGTTCGATACCCGCTCTTGTACGTTTCGGTCTGAATGAGCATAGTACAGGCGTACGTACTCGTGCATCACTACTGTGTAATGCAAGCTAAAGTCCCCAGGCTAGAGGCAGTACTGCGTAAGCTATAAATTTCTAATCAGCAGCAAAGACAAAGACAAAAGACTGCAGGTGACCTTCCCCCATGCTGTCTAAACTTTCGTAGAGCGAATTATTTTCTTTCCCAGATAATAAG